TTCATCTTCAAGTTACACAAGCATTCTTGTTTTCAGCATGTCGATTACCATGACCCTTTTCTTCTTTTACTCCTACTATGAGATCTTTTGACTATTAGTCGCATGTTTGCATCAAAATTCCTCATTGATTTTGTTTATGTTGCTGTTTCCATAGAGCTGGCATTTTGCTCTTGGTAGTATAAACCTAGGAGATTCTGCACGTTTAAAATGTTACACGTGGTTTTTGAATGAGGGATTAGTATACATCATTAGTGGATCTTGGCTGAAGAAAGTTTGTCATCCGTCTGATCACAATTTTTAGGTTTTGAGTCAATCAGTCCCATTAGAGTTCATTTTCTTCCAATGTAATTGTAGAATTTTGTTAATAAGTATATTCAACCTTTGATCCTAGCTACATCTGCGGCCAAATTTGAAAAGCATTACAAGGGTATGGCTTAAAACAGTAAGAAGTTGTATGGATCAACATTGAGAAAAAAGGAAAAAATTTAGTGAATTATCCTTTTTCTACTTCACATTAGCCACCTTTTCTCAACAATTTAGACTTTTAACCCTTTGTGATATTGCTTTCATCCTGCTTCTCCTGCCCATCCAGTTTGTGTCATCTTTCACCTTTGGGCCTGTTAGCTTGAACTAGCCAATAAATTCTTTCATGACTTGTTTTTGATGAAGTTTCTTGCAAATTTGTTTTGTTCTTTCCTCCATTATCACATAGGATTGCACTGAGGCCCATCTTGAGTCTACATCTAATGCCCATTCCAATGTTTTCCCCATCATCAGAATAGATCTTTCATGAGGCAAAATGACTTGGAGGAGTTGAAGGAGGACGTTCTTGATTCAAAAGGATGCTAAATCATGTTGCTCATCATGTAGTCCTTCTAAAGGCAAACTTGTTTAGAAAGCAACAAGCATTTTCTTCCCGTGTCAAATTAGATGTCTTAAGTTGAGGGGGCATATGTGTTGGGGCAAGGGTTTGTATGGTATACTCAAATATGTGTAGGTCTAACAGTAGAGACAAAGTCAAAACTAATTTATCGATCTGATTTTTTGTTAGTATGAGGTGAGTCCTACTTATTCTTTTCGAAGTGTGACACTGAACAAGTCGTCGATAGTGAAGGGAAAACGTCCTTTTAAAAAGCGGAAACATGATATGCATCCCCAATTTGTTATGTTTTTTGCATGAATGAAAGTTATGTAAGCTCTTAATTTGCTTTGTTTTTAAAACAATTGTAGACAGGACTCAGGAGTATTGGGTTCTTAGCACTTGTGTTAGACGAATACTGCATTATCATAGGTTCCGCTCTGAGTTTTCTGTACTGATATGAAACAATTCTTGGGAAAAGGGAATAGTGTTGTCTATCTCTGTAGGGAGGTCACGGAAGGTTCCCTGGGAGAATCTACAAGGCACTGGCCTCCTGCTTTGCTTCTTTTGGTGCTTTCTATACTAAATTGATTTTACGGATAGATTAATGACTGATAAAATATGAGAAGTTACTATGAACAATTTGAGTTTGGACATTTTGGTCATGTCAGAACAAGGTCCAACAAATTGAACGTACTTTTAACTTTTCCTTTATTTTATATATTCCTGTTTACGTTTGTTTGCTGCATGATTTGGATGCTAACTTTGAACTAAACGTGGCAGAAACATAGATGAGCTTCCAAACACCAAGCGCAAACGTTTAAGACCAGGTGAAATTTCTCCTCCTCGACCAGTTCCTGAACACATACAAAGGCCTCCTTATGTGAAGTCTAGGAAACCACCTGGGATTGGTAGTGGCTTTGAAGTGCATGACAGAAAGGGAATAGAAAAGATGAGAGCTTCTGGAAGGCTCGCTGCACAGGTTCTTCAGCATGCTGGGACATTAGTCCAGGTGATATACGGAGTACCTTTTACTCAAGTCTCAATGTGGAGTTCGGTGTGGCAACAAGCTTCATTTAGGTTAAAAAATAAGATCTGTGTTTGCCGCAGTTATGGCTTCCACTAACTGACTTTGATTAGCTACGGTCTCCATTCCCTGTCTTATGCTCATCTGCTTGCTTTGAACTTCGGAAGTTAAGTTAATTCATTCAGAAGACCACCATGTAATTTTCTCTTTCTAGCTTTTGCTTTGGGCTCAGGTTACAGCCTGCGTTACTACTCCTTTGTTTCCAATTTATGTGACAGCTTTCTGGGCGTTCATAATATTTAACACCGTCTCATTTTATATAACTTTCACAAGTTCATTAAATGATTCAGATTTTAAACTTTAATGTGATGTTTTTCCTATTAAACTAACTTCTCAGTCATTAAGTTAATACTTTTTCCTTAATGCATATGTCAAATTAACCTGTTAAACCATGTGCAGTCAAATAGCATTTATAGAATAAAACTGGGGGAGTAAATGGTTCTTTTCTTTTCTTGTATGTGAGTAAAAAAATGTAAACTTCAAGTGTTAGATAACACCAAATTGTTGCATAATTGAATGTAACAGGTCCAAATGGAGTAAACTGGATAGTGAAGATTCATATAATCAACCCAGCCAGCTTGGGTTTGAAGAGTAGTTTTTGTTGTAGTCACCATAGCATCAGACCAGCATCAGTTTTAAATTGGTGCATGAAATGTCATCAGTCTGAATAGTTTCACAGGGTGTCTGAACAATGATTTGTTTTAAATCTGCGTCGTTATTTCTTCTGGCAGCCAGGCACTATGACAGATGAAATTGACCAAGCTGTTCACCAAATGATCATTGACAATGGAGCATATCCGTCACCTCTTGGTTATGGTGGATTTCCAAAGAGCGTATGCACATCAGTGAATGAGTGCATTTGCCACGGAATCCCAGATTCACGTCCACTTGAGGTTTGCTCTACTGAATAGTTGGTTTTTCCATAACCAAGAATCCAACATAGCAACAGGCTAACATTCTTATGCTTTTGTGATATTTCACGATTTAGGATGGGGATATTATCAATATTGACGTCACCGTTTATCTTGATGTAAGTATTCTGTTGCAATTGATTAGTGTTGTTTGCTGTCTCTTCATTGCTTCAATTTTTCTGTTTTTACTGAAATAGATAGTGCCTTGAAGCTATAAATATGATGATGTAAGATTTGTTGTTCCTCATAATTCTACAAGATGCCATTATCCTTATTCTTGAGAACCAGAGCTTTTGCATTCTTACACGTCATTTTTGCTATAATCTTCTAACTTTGGTTTTCCTGTATGCTGATTGGATTCAAATCACTAGATTTATTACTGTTGTTAGTGATAATCTTTTGAACTAAATTTTCTTTATCTTTGTTTCTTGCTCCCACTTATGCAGTTATGCTGTTAGACAAAAGCTATAACATTCCACTCTGTGAACCTCTAGCATAGACAGTACTTTTTGCAACTCCCTTTAATCCACCTGTCTGTCATTATTGCCACATTCAGACCATTTATTTCTAGTCTCCCGTGCCCTTACTGCTCTCCACTACTATTTCCTACTTAAGTCTCCAAACAACATATTGCTCCCACTGTACCTACAGCGGTAGAAGCCTAGAAGGGGTGCTTGTGGTCATGGTAATCATTATATTTTTTTTTT